TGGGATGGGATGGAGAATGGGATCTGTCCAAGGCCCCTCTGTCACCCCAGAAAGGCTCTGGGTTCTCCCGCCTCCCCTCTGGGTAAAAGATTTCCAACGGGATTTGTTTTTACAGGGCAGAGGAGAAACAAGACATGGCTGAGAGGGAAAGGTGAGGATTCCTTTATTTTATCCTTCCTTTGAAGAGTTTTTGGGGATGAGAACAACCCCAGGGCTTGGATCCCTGGAATCCAACTGAACATTCCCAGAGCTGAGAGGGGCTGGAACTGGAGATGGAAGGAAAATCCTGGAGGGGTTTGGGAAGACGGTGCCAAAATCCTTCCCCAGGATAATCTGGCCTGGGTTTGGCTCTGATTCTGAGGGGGAGCAGGGACAGATCCACTGGATGGAGCTGAAATGTTTAAAGAAATAACCGTGAGCTCAGGGCAGAGAGGGGGGATCTGTTTGGGGTAGAAATTCACTGATTTTGTGCTGCTTCTCTCCCCAGCAGGCCCATGCCCCCAGCAGAGGATCAGGAAACCAGGTCTGAGCTGTTTTTTGTGTCTGGGGCAGATTCTGTGGTTATTTTGATCCATGAGCAGGGAAAGCCAAGCCTGGCCTGGCCCCACCGTGCCCATGACAGCCACACTTTGTCCCCACCACCCTTCTCTGAACCATTTCACCCAAATCCACTCATYTTTTTGGCTGATATAATGGCAATAATGACATTTTTTTTACCTCAATTTGCTTCCTGAGGATAATTCCTGTTTTTTTTTCCTGCCCAGCATGTCCTGAACGGGAGCAGCACGGACGAACGGAGCGGGAGAACGAGCGGCCTGGCAGTCACCGCCTTCGGGGCCGAGACCTCACCACCACCTCACCCCGAGCCCTGCAGACCCCAGAGCTGCCTCCTCTGCCTCCAGGATCCTTCAACCTTTTGGGAAACATCGTCCTTAAAAAAAARAAATAAAATAAAAATTTAAAAAGAAGAAGGAAAACAAGGAAAAACCCCAGAAAACGCGGCACGAGCAGCACTTTTCAGGACAGGTTCTGGTGTGTTTTGGGAATGGTCTGTGGAGAGCAGCGCAAACACTCGCTGGGTAAATCAAGAGTATCCTCCAGGCCATGAATCCCCAGCCCAGAAAGAGAATTTATTTTTGGTTTGAGTTACAAACCCTTCCCCTTGCTCGCTGCTGGCCAGCGCGGAGATCGTGTGGAGAGCTGCACCCCCGGGGTCTTCCAGGAGATCCCAAAAACTGCTGGACCAGGGAAAAACAACTCCAGAATATCCCAAAAGCTGCTGGACCAGGGAACAACAACAAATCCTCCAGGACATCCCAAAAACTGCTGGACAAGGGAAAAACAGCTCCAGGAGATCCCAAAAACTGCTGGACCAGGGAACAACAACAAATCCTCCAGGACATCCCAAAAACTGCTGGATTGGGAACAACTCCAGGATATCCCAAAAGATGCCAGTCCAGAGAATAACCACAACTCCAGGAGGTCCCAAAAGCTGCCGGACCAGGGAACAGCTCCAGGATATCCCAAAAGCTGCTGGACCAGGGAAAAACAGTTCCAGGACATCCCAAAAACTGCTGGACCAGGGAACAACAACTCCAGGACATCCCAAAAGCTGCTGGACCAGGGAAAAACAACTCCAGGATAGCCCAAAAGCTGCTGGACCAGGGAATAACAACAAATCCTCCAGGACATCCCAAAAACTGCTGGACCGAGGAAAAAGAACTCCAGGAGATCCCAAAAGCCAGCCCAGGGAACAACCACAACTCCAGGACATCCCAAAAACTGCTGGACCAGGGAACAACTCCAGAACCATGCCAGTCCAGGGAACAACTCCAGAATATCCCAAAAGCTGCTGGACCAGGGAAAACCAGCTCCAGGATAACCCAAAAGCTGCTGGACCAGGGAAGAACTCCAGGACATCCCAAAAGCCAGCCCATGAAATAACAACAACTCCAGGACATCCCAAAAGCTTCCTCCTCACCACTCCAGGCATAGACGGGTTTCCCGGATTTCCCAAACCTTGGCATGGAAAGCAGATGGGAAAAAAATCCCAATTCCATCTCACGAGCACCAAAAAACCTCATCATAAACCAATTATGGACAAAAAAATCCCAGGCCAGGCTGGGCAGGGCTTGGAGCTGCCCGGGACTCTGGGAGGTGGCCCTGGATGGGATTTCAGGTCCTTCCCAACCCAATCCTGGTTTTCCATAAGGAATTTTGTGCTTCAAGGGAAGAAAAACCCTTCAGGTCTTGCTGGAATTGGGGTTTTTTTGTGAGTGACACCCAGAACAGCCAGGAATTCCCAAATTTCCATCCCAGAGCTGGGAATTCCTCACAGACTGAGCACCCCCAGGAGATGGAGGAGGGATTTGCTGATTAAATCAATTTTAGTTCTGATTGTGAACAATCACCTTGTGRTCCCACACTCTTTGAATTCACTGAGAACAYTTCCAGATTTTCCTTTTTTTWWTTTTTTTTTCCTTTGGAGACTGKTTTTATGGATTTTATGGRGAAAAACCATCAGCTTTCCAYRGAACGTGACCCAGGYTGGGCATTGCAAGGGAATTTTGCAATTCTGTCACGGATAAAGTGGATAAAACATCAAATGCTGGGTTCAAATCCAATTCCAGGAAGATTTTGTGCATAAAAAAAATATTCACAACCTCATGGAAAATGCTGCTGTCATGGAAAACACGGATTTGGGAGATAAGGAATTTCATTTTCCTCAGCAGTCCCCACCAGAATGTGATTTTGGGTTTAGTCCTTTCCAAAACCACCCTGTCTGTGTCTTCAGACAAAAAAAAAAAATACAGAATGAGCAGATCTGACAATGAAACTTCACATTTTTCCAAGCAATTCCTTCAGAGCAAAGGAATTTCAGCTGGGAAAAGGACAAATCCCCCAATTTCCCTTAGAGAGATGATGTTGGGCCATTGTTTCCACACAAAAGTCAATTTTTAACTTCTCAGAACCAATTTTTTTTTTTTTGTTTCAAAGAAAATGCACTTTCAGATGGAGCACTATGAGTGGTGTGCACTGGATTTTCATTTTTCTCAGAGTTTTATGAGTTTTTGTGTTCCCAGATGAATGGATGGATGGATAAGGTTGATTTATCTTTTCAGCACTGAGAAAAACCTGCAACCCCATCAAGGAGAAATTAGAAATAATAAAAAAAAAAAATGCATTTGATGGCAGCACAGCAAAAATAACTCTCATTAATTTATTTCAACTTCAGGTGTTGGTTGCAAAACAAAAAAAAAGCTACAAATTCTTGGAGAGAAATACAAAAAAATGTCTCTGTCCCAAAGATGGAGTGACAAATCTCAGCTGGATGGTGACAAACCTGCACTGCTGCTGGTAAAAGTGCATTTACAGGAGAACTTTGAGCAGGAGAAATATCTATCTATAAATATATAAATATGTTTAAAGAATGAAATAAATTTCATCCCTTTAGCAATACTGGACTGCTCAGTGTCCCCAGTGTGTTTCACCAAACCATCCCTGGAGGATCAAGATTTGAATTTCAGAATTCCCTCTATGACATTGAGCAGTTTCTGAGATTTTCCTGATTTTTTTTTCTTGCTGGTGAATCCATGGAAAGTCCCATTTTAGCTGCAGAAAATGTCCTTTTTTTCACCCACATTCCCAGAAATCCCARTATTTTTACTGGTTGTACTCGGACTTGGATCCACTCCACATCAGCCTGAACAATCCAATCTCTTCCTGTACAGTCGATTCCACATCTGGAATTTCCTTCCCACCTTTAGGATTTATCCCAGGCCCTTCTCAGCTCCAGYTTTCCTGGTTTTTCCAACAGAACCATCCAGGTTTGGGACTGTCCAGGAATTTTTATTCWGATCCACGAGGAAGGCGCAGAAATCAAACCTGGGATGCTGCTGTAGATTCCAGTGGAATAACAAATCTAATTTTTTTTTTTTTTTTCTGTACAGTGMTGTGTAAATGTGAGTGGATATTTAGAGCTTCCCTCATGGCAATTTTTTCCATCTCTTTTATTTTTTTTCCTCCCACAGATGTGCAGAAAAGGTTTTAAAAGTGACAAATCCTCTGTTTTAGAGGTTTGGGGATTGAAAAAAAAAAGGTGGCAATAAACTGGGATTGGCCTGAGAACAGGTGAAAGGGACAAAAAATGGGCTCTGAACACAAAAAGCACACGTTTTCCCTTTTGTATTCCCTTCTCTCCTTCCTTCCTGGCAGCCAGAAGCGCAGCATGTTTTGGTAAAAACATTCCAGAAATCACCACGACAATAAATCCCAGGGTTTGGGGTTTTTTTTTTTCCTTTTTCCACCCCAAACCTGCCCGTCCCGACGCGTGAACTGTCATTTTCTGACGTGGTTGTTCATTAGGTGGTTCGTGCTAGCAGACTGTTCATCTGTATCCTGAAGTTTTGCTTTGTATTATTCCATAAAATCTGTGGATATTCAATTAAACTGAGAYTAATCCTTCAGCCCCTTCCTTCTCTTGGTAGGGTTTTATTTATTCGGTTCCACGTGGAAAATATTTGGGAAATTTTTGGTTGGATGTCATTCCYTTGAAGAAAGGCATTCTCCCTGGAAACTCTGACACCACAAAAAATCCAAATTTTTACTCCAATAACTCCAATTCTGGAGAATTCTCTCACTTTCCCTCAGTTGTAGGAAAAAGCTGTGGAAAAAAAATCCTGCTCATGAGCTCTTTCCTTCCCTCCAGGAGTTTTCCAGGCTGATCCCAAATCAGTGATGTCCTGGTTATTTTTTCTCATCTGCTTTTCCCTTTCCCAGCCATGTGATCCATGAGAATGTCACCCTGACGGTGGCAGGGCCTGGCTGGGAGCCACCAGGATGAGGTGGCAGCCAATTTAACCTCATATTAATTAATTCATTTTGTTATTCCACCACCTTAATTTTCCTGCAGTTGCTGTGGTTTATGGTAAATTCTGCTCTCTCTGGTTTTGTTCTCAATAAAAACCTTCAACCTTTGGGAGGAGGACTCTGAGCCACCCAGCACCCCCAAAGCTCCAGAAAGAATAAATAACCCCAAATTTTCAACAAATTTCAACAAATTTCAACAAATTTCAACATATTTCAACAAATAACCCCAAATTTCAACATTCCCCAGTGAAAATATCTCCCATTCCTCGCCTCTGGCAGGAAGAACCTTGGCATTAACCTCACTCATCCCATAAACAATGTCTTATGATTAAGTGAGGGATTAAAATTGGGAATTGAAGCAGCAGRAGAAATGAGTCACATTCTGCAGGCAGAAAGGTCAACGGGCACCCAGGAACCAAACAATCCCYGGGGAAACAAAACCCCGGAGGCTCCACAAATATTAAACCACCTCCTGCTAAATTTAGCCCCAGTTTGAACAAAGAATTTTTTTGTAAACATTTGTATTCTAAAAATATCATTTCAAGAGGGAACGTGGCTTGTCTTTGATTCAGGCTCTCCAGTGAATGGCATTTGTATGAGTAAAGTGTCGAGCAGATAACGGATCTCCAGAATAAACAAACCCCAAAAAAAGGAAGTTTCTGATGAGCAGCCCAGAATGGGGCTTAAAAAAGCCTTTTTGAGCATTTGGTATTTGCATAACTGGTGTTTTTATGGGTTTGGGTTGAGTTTTTGGAGCTGGGCAGTGTTGGAGGGTCAGGCCTCAGGCCGAGGTGGGTTTTGCTGGGAAGGAAGGAAGGAGACAGCTGGAATGTGAGCTCCAAATACAGGCAGGAATCTGGGAATTTGAGCTATGTGGGTGAATTCCAGCTGCCAGGGAGTTCGAATAGGGGAGAGAGGAAAAAAAACCACCCCAAGGAGCCTAAAAACAAACTGGGAAATGCAGCAGCTGCAGGAGAACGGAGGGGCTGGGGAGGAAGATTTGAAAATGGGATTTTAGACTGAGGAAGAGGAGGTTTTACACTGAGGAGAAATAAGATTTTGCCCCAAGGAAAAGGGGCTTTTACACTGAGGAGAAATGAGGTTTTACACTGAGGAGAAATGAGGTTTTACCCCAAGGAAAAGGGGCTTTTACACTGAGGAGATACAAGAGTTTACACTGAGGAGAAATGAGATTTTACACTGAGGAGAAACAAGGTTTTACACCGAGGAGAAACAAGAGTTTACACTGAGGAGAAATGAGGTTTTACCCCAAGGAAAAGGGGATTTTACACCGAGGAGAAACAAGAGTTTACACTGAGGAGAAATGAGATTTTACACTGAGGAGAAATGAGAATTTACACTGAGGAGAAATGAGCTTTTACACTGAGAAAAAAAATGAGGTTTTACATGTAGGAGAAATGAGCTTTTGCATTGACAGGAATAGGGTTTGCAGCTGTGAGCTTAAAAAAAAAACCAAACCCAACAGCAACAACCAACGGGCCCCGTGTCCTTCAACCTTCCCATTTCCAGAAAAACAAAAGTGTTGACATTCCTCACAGAGATAGTGGCACATTGCTCCTGATCCCAAACAAT